TCCTGTCAGGTAGTTGTAGAGAGCGATAAGGTCTCCCCTCAGCCTCCTCTTCTCCAGGCTAAACAACCCCAGCTCCCTCAGCCGCTCCTCGTAAGACTTGTGCTCTAGACCCTTCACCAGCTTCGTTGCCCTTCTTTGGACATGCTCCAGCACCTCAGTGTCCTTCTTGTAGTGAGGGGCCCAAAACTGAACACAGTACTCGCGGTGCGGCCTCACCAGTGCCGAGTACAGGGGCACTATCACCTCCCTGGTCCTGCTGGCCACACTATTCCTGATACAAACCAGGATGCCATTGGCCCTCTTGGCCACCTGAGCGCACTGCTGGATCATGTTCAGCTGGCTCTCAACCAGCACCCCGGGATCCTTTTCAGCCAGGCAGCTCTCCAGCCACTCTTCCCCCAGCCTGTAGCGTTGCATGGGGTTGTTGAGACCCAAGTGCAGGACCCAGCACTGAGCCTTGTCATGCAGCAAGGGAAAGTTGTCCCCTTGCAGGAGAGGAGAGGCAGCCCCTGTCAGCTGCAGTGGAGCTGAGCTGGGGACTTTCTCACAGGTCACACCCTTCCAGCCACTCAGACAGGTCTCATCCCTTGCAGTGCATTGCCCAGCCCTCCCTGAGGACAGAAGAAGCAAAGAGACTCTTCAGGTACTAGACTGATACCATTCATATCCAATACAAGCAGGCTCTGTTTTCTGTAGGGTCCTTTCCAGTGAGGGACCTCCCATCACTAGCCCTGGAAAAGGACTTGCAGAACCTCCAACTCTGGCTGAGCATCTTGCATCGAGGAGTGCAGCTATCGCTGTCTCATGATGCCACGTGAGCTCTCTTTAAGTCCTGGCCAGGAACAACAAATTGCAATGGCAGATCCTGCCACCTCCTGCCACTGCAAGGGTCCCTCCTTCGCTGGGACTTCGCAGCTGAGCACAGTGCATCAAGTGCACAGTGGACTGTGAGACAGCAATGCTCGCCACAGGGGCCCTGAGACTGTTCGCTGTGTACGCTGCACAAATTGCTTACCTCACCTCTACTCAGAAACGCTGCTGCTTTTGCGGTGAGCCCGGCTTCACGGCAGCCCACCACAGGAAGCAAAACCAGCTAATGAGTCCAACTGCAATGGCGGGGAGGCGGTGGGGGCAATCCGAAGGCAGAATCTTGTCCCTCAGCTTGGAACATATTCAGGATTCAGTGGTTAACGCCACTATTTTTGCACAAAATGCCTTGGGACTTCAGACAACCACATATTTATATCATCATTGGAATTGTCTTCTACCCCCACTTCTGTTTTCTCAGCCTGTTGGTTACTTTGCCTTTGCAGGCTTACTATGTTGTAGCAGCCCGGAGTCCCAGGGGTGGTTCAGGGCTGCACCAAGCAAGGGCTGTCATCTAGATTCATGAGGATATTTCAGTGATTAATGCTCTCAAATGCTCCGGGAAGAATTGCTTCCATGCTAGGTGCTTCCAGCTAAGATAAGAGACAGCAAAAAGTGGGGGAAGGGGCTCTTTGAAGGACTTTGAAAGCATAAGACAGAGAGAAATCTTCAAGGGCTAACTTACTAGCTGATGGGCTGTTTACTGACCATCTATTTTTCACCTGAGATCTTTTTCTGAAACATTTTTCTCTCTGCTCCTTCTTCCCTGGTTGCTCATGTGAGATGCTTCGCAGAGACTGAAGGGGTGCAAATTTGTCTTTCCATTCCCACTCATCTGCAAAGCCTTGAAGTTGTGGTTCCTCCTCTTTGGTGTGGCTGTGCTGCCTTTATGTGACAGTCAGGCAAAGGGCAGCCATGCCCCTTCAGAAACACGTGTGAGCCCTGCCAAAGAAACCGTCCCCAAAGCCCCTTACCAGGCATCCATTCCTTGTGGGTTTCTCACAATTCTTTTGGCACAGATGATGTCATCAGTTATGTTCCTCGATAGCAGATCTGCAAAGAAAGAAGCACAAGCCCGTGTGCTCACTCGAGGGCAGGACACCAGCCTGGAGCAGATTTCCTTGCCAGGCACAGTGAGGGCTGGGCACTCGAGCAGCCCTGGGCAGTGGTGCAGGGCCAGATGCTGCTCATCCTCCCCACTAATGGGCTGCTGTCAGCCTCACGTGCTTGAATGCCACCAGGCAGGGACCCTCATCTGCTTCTGCGTGGCCAGCAACAACCATAAACGTATGTTTTCCCCCACAAATACTGGTGTGCCGGCCTCTGTAATCACAGGTGAGAGAGAGATGGAAGGAGGGGGAAAAATGGGAGCAGACCCGTCTATGCTTATGATATTTCAATCCCTTCCTGCTTGCTCTACTGGGAAAAAAAGCTATTAGGGAACTTTTCTGCCTATCTGGAAAAGGAGGTTTTGGTCTGAACAGGAATGGGAGGTCCAGCCCCAGCCTCCCAGATCTTGGATTTTCTCATATAGCAGGATGTCTGCTGGTCAGACACAGCAAAACCCTTCCCTTGTCTGCTTAGGAGCTCCCCACTGGTGACAGACCCCAAGCCAAGACCTGGATCTGCCTGGCAGTAATACAGCCTTGGGTGATTGCTTTCCCAGCTACTCACTCCACAACTGGGAGGATGCATTTATCTCATTCAGCCCCACATCACAACCCACCCACATCAGGACTGCCTCTCTTCCACCCACAGTCAAAACACCTAGAGAGCCCTGGGGTCCCTAGTATCTCAGGAAAGGAAAGGGTGGATAGGGCCTTTCATCACCCCCAGCTTCCTGGAGCCACAGGCATCTTGTTCCCTAGGCTGAGCCCCACATGTTCCCGCAGCTCCAGTTTGGCCACAGGGTGAAGATGGGCAGAGCGGAAGGGCTTGGACTGCTGCCTCTGCTCCTGGGGCTGGCTCCGGAGGACCAGTGCCATGGTACCCCTGCAAGCCCCCCTGCAGCAGTTATCCGAGGGGCTGCGGTCGTTGGTGCATCACTGCTGGCTGCTGATCTGGAAGATGCCATAGTCGGCACTGTCGTCCGCTTTGATGCTCTGTGCTGCCGTGTTGAAGATGCTCTTGTAAAAGGCCATGCAGAGCCCTGGGCAGGGGCAGAAGGCACTCAAGCACTCAGGACAGTGGCAGCCGGGAAGGAAGGGCTGTGGGGACACAGGGGACTAAACCTCACAGTTGGCAAGGCTGTAGCCCCCATAGCCTTGCAGCCTTTCTTCCTGGCCCAGGTGAGCCAACTCCCACCAACTGAACACCTTGGCTTTGGTGGCTGCGGTCGGCAAGGCCAGCAGCAGCAGCAGGGGAGACCCCATTCCTGCAGGGCTACTGGTCCTTGCATACTGGGATCCCCAGGGGGAAAGGTAAAAACAAGGCATAAGCAAGCAGTAAAGCACATCCAAGGCCAGCTCCCTAGCAGGTAGTTACACGGCTAGCTCTGGTGACCCCAGGCTGCTCATGCCTGCCGTTGGGGTGTGCACACCCACATATGCAGGCATGCACGTACGCAGCGGCTGTGCTGGACAGCCCAGGCCACAGACAGGTTTTACCAATGCAGACGTGGAAAACACAGAGCTCCAGGCACTGCCACTTTGCAGTTTTTGTATATTAGTGGTGAAAGGTCAGGTATCCCGTGGGAACTGGAAAGCTGACAAATGGGACCCACTAAGGGAAGGGTTACATGCTTTAGCTGCTCAGACATCTCGGCTCTTCCCCTGGTGCTGGTCAGGCTCTGAGCAGAAGCCGTGATGTGCAGTGACCTCATTGCTGTTGGGAAGCCATACCCAAACTCACTAACCCTTAGCCCCCATTTGCACATCAGCCTTTTACACAGTTACCAGCACGCACAGTGAGTCACATCCTACAAGTCCAGGGAGTTTGTCCGAGAAAAGACCTCAAATCTGGGCTTTAATAAACAGAATTAAAATCCTTTCCTTGGGGTTATTTCTCTCTCATCCCTCCTTTCCTCCTTCCTGTGCACCCTCTTTTACCAAACGTGCCAGGCGGTTTGCTTTCCGGCCATGCAGCGTAGTGCCGTCCCGCAGCCCCGGCAGGCTGTGCCCCGCTGCCATGCAACCAGAGCTGTTTGCAGCCCTGCAGAGTGGTTTGCAGCAAGGGGCAGAGGCAGGAGGTACCTCCTGCGCTGTCTCCGGTGCTCGTCCTCTGTGGGCAAGGGCATTAGGGGCTGCTTAATAAAACCCCCATGTATACCTAAAGAAATCATTACCTCCAGCAACACGTTTCAGCACCAGCCCTGGGGTGGGCATCAGGGGCGTCCCCCGGTGACCACTCGCCCTTCTAGAACTCCCCTTGGCCCGTCACCAGGGAGGAAGCCTCATCAGCCCTGCCCCAAGCCATGGGACCTGGGACAGGAGCACTGCTGCTGTGGCTGTGCTTTTCAGGGACATCCCCTTGGCTCTTGGTTTCTACTTCACCCAAAAATTATTCCTGCAAGCGAGTCAGTAGGAGCATTTTTTATATTTTAAGCTCATATTGCAGGATTTTTGCACAGACAGAGAAAAATCACCTTCTCACTGAGAATAATAGTGGAACTCTTTCCAATGCCTCCAGCCAGGCAAGGGTGTGATCCCATGAACAAAAATCAAGTAAATTTGTGTCCAAAATGCTTTTAACTTCTAGACGGAATAGCCCATAAATAAGTGGCAAACCAAGAATTATCACACAGATTGATCAATGAGTAGAGACAAGCAATGTATTACACATTTGTACTGGGTTAGAAGCTGTAAAGACAATTAGTGAGATGGTCTTCCATTCAAGGCAGTAAAAAGAAATATGAACATGCCTGTTTTCCTCAGGTTTGTGGCAAGGAGCAGAAGAGGTTTTCTGTTCACCCCAGAGTGGTCACTGCTTGCTCTTGGTGTGTCGGCATCTCCAGCTGAGGCAATGAAAGCCACTTCTGCCCCACAGGCTGGTACCACCGCACGGCTGAACCAAGGCCTGGCCAGACAGCAAGGCGCAGGCGTTTGTTCACTCTTGTCCTACCATTCTGGTATCTCTTTTTTTTGGGGGGGCCATGAACACTAATAAACCCAACGAAAATTAGAAAATCACTTAGAAGAGGAGCAGTGGAAGGAACTCCCCCTTATGGGAGCATTTGCTTTAATTTAAACTATCTAAAGATAATAAATAACAGGGCTCCATAATGACACAATTTTCTCATCTTCTTGGTTTCAAAGTATTTTTTAACAAGCAAAATGAGGTTTCAAACATGTCTGCGATATCTCCTCTGGATTAAATATTAATCCTGATGCCAAAGTAATAAATACAGAAAGCCTGCCTGTTTTTTCTGACATGCAAGTCCCTAATTGTGTGGGAAGCTGCTCAGATGGGTTTCAGTTTGAGCAGGAGATAAAATGCCACAGAGCCAGTACAGTATCTGTGTCGCTACAAGATTTACAGCTCCATTCCCTGCCTGAAAACAAAGGAACAAATAGCTGCATGTCACGCACTGAACTGAAACATTATGGATTATGTTATTACTCGAGTTTCTACAGGACTTCTCAGTGGGGGAAAAAAAATTCTATTAACTGTCTTTTACAACTGCCAGCAGGGCAACGTGAAAAGAATAATCTCTTCCATTTATAAGGTCTGGGGGCCTTAAAACCTGAATAGCAGCCCAGGAGCTTTGTCACAAGGTCTGGCTGTTTCCTTTCCTTCATAAAATTCCTATCTCCATTAATCTGTGTTTATTTTCCTTCTGCTTTTTAATTTGCTTAATGGACTTCAGCCTAAGTCTCTCCTAGAAGTCAGAGGAAAGTAAACTCTGATAAATCCTTCGGGACTTAATAGTCACAGTTAAGCACTTCTTTGGATTATTTTGTCTGACTTTCATCTTTGCTGCTGCAGAAATGTCGGCTGCCTAGCACTGCAGCCCTAACCCCATGACTTAAGAGCCTGGGAATGAACTGACAAAAGATATCCCTCTTTCTTTCTTCTTCTGCAGGCATGGAAATACAGCAAGACTAGATTTAAACTCATAAAAGGCAACCGGGGTGTCCTCCACATGGTTGCCCCATGCAGAAAGCATGTTGCAGGCTCAGTGCTCCTCAGACTGCCCATCTCTGCCGGTCTCTCCCATCCCCAGGCTTCAGTTTCCAGGGGCAGAAGGAGGAAGCCCCAGCTGGACGGGAACTGCTGTGCGTTGTACTGGACCCAGGCTGAGGGCTGGGGAGCACAGCCCGGTCTGGGCACCTCCAGCCGCAGCTTCCTGAAGCCAGGTACCGTCGCTGTACATGGGGGTGCCAGCTGCTCCTCCGTCACGCAGCCTGGCACCCTCTGACCTCGGCTCCCAGCACAGATGGGGTAAGGAGGGCGCTGCAGATCCCAAGCCTCATGGGGAATCTGCCCTCTGGCAGCCCATAATGGGCATCAGAGCTGTCCTGCAGGAGAGGAGACCTGTGACATTTCCTTGTTCCCAGTCCTACTGGCATCATCTGTTCAATAACGTTTCATGTTATTAATCTATTATTATTTTCTTTTCAATGGGCAGGCTTTGAATGACAGCCAACATTAGTATTAGTCTCTAAATACCTTTTTGTTAGGAGTCCAAATCCTTTGTGTTCTAACCCATATATTACTTTCTGTGGAGAAGATTTATTTTTGCACAGCATTTATTCCTGCAGGATCTGCTTACTCAGAAATTGCATTGTATAATTAGGTCCCAACTGCCTATTTCTAATCCTGAACAAAGGTTCACTTTATTGTTCATTTCAGCAATTCAAATTTTCATTTTACTTCTTCCATGTACGATAGACATAATTAATTAGGTCCCATTCCACCAACCTTTCTATTTCCTGTGTCTAATGATCAGGCTTTTAAAAAAACCCTCCATGGTTTTACGTGTTGCTGGAGCAATTTACACATGTCCACCTGTAGTGAAACTAAGGCATGAAACAAAGGCAAAGCACTAAGAGCTGAGCTCCTCTAACTGACAAACGCTGGTACAGATAAAGGATGGGCCCATTGACTTATTGCAACTTGTAATTGAAATTTTACATATATTTTGGGCCAATCTGTATAGACTGAGGGGAATTCTTTCCTAAAGAAAACTTCCACCCTCCTGATTTTATTTGAGCTGCTTGGTAAAGTTGTTGCCTGTGAATGCATAGGCTTCTCTCTCTCAGAAACAGTGAGTAGGTGGTCATTGAGAAAGTAATTCTGGCCGTTTTTGTGAAAACACATCGTCATGTGCCAGGAAAAAAAGCTGAGCCATTGGGCAGGCTCCATACCACAGTAACATCCAGCCCTGACTACTTTGGTTTTGATCTGTTTTTCTTTCCTTGATGTCAAAGGGCTCTGCCCCCCACATACTAACCATAAATCTCAGCAATACCTTCATTACAACAGAGCATGTCTTATCTGAATGTGCTTTCTTCTGGTACTAGGTGGTCAGCCACAGTGCAGTTTTGACTTGCTGTTTCGTAGCATCATTTGACATAGTAGTTACAAGAGATTAGGAGCTGGAAGTTAATATGGTGAGGGCATGTAATTATACAACTCTAGGGTCTGAAGGCCTTATTTAAAAGAGCAGTCCAGCACTTAGGGATAACAGCAAATGGACTGTGGTAGCATCACAAGGAAATGTGCTCTTTGGAAAGGCTGACAGCTTTGTCAAACTGCGATGGCTACCACCATTGCTATACAGAGCAGATAAACCTCAGTGTGCTTGAAACCAGACAGCTTGGGGCATAGGAGAAGAGTGGCTTGGAGAGCACAGAACTCTGCCGGATGCAAAACCCACCCAAGAAGCTGGGCAAATACTCTGGCTGTTTGCTCTGCAGAGGTTGCCGCTGCCGACGAGCTTACTGCTGGCGTCCCAGCTGGCCACGGGCCAGTGCAGGGGTGTCTGCACCACTCTGCAGGCACAGCAGGGATTAGAGGGGCTGAGCAGTCAGTTGCACAAGCTGATGCATCTCCTGGGATCAGCTGGAGACAAATGATCAGGAGTCCTATTTTGGAGCTCCCAGTGGTGGAACAAAGGCAGAGGCTGAGATCCCTTATCTGCTTCTGTGAAACTCACACTAAGCAAGGAAAAGCTGCACCGCTTGGCCCGGGGTGACAAAGAGCAGACTGGACCCTGCTCAGATGAGCTGCTTTCCATGGGTGGACAGGAGCCCTTGTGGCTTATTAGTCTGGCACACTGATCTGTGCTCTGATGTCTGGGATCCTGCTAATGAAATTATCACTTGTAGTAAGAGTCAAAGCTGCTTTGTGGGAACCATGAGTTTCCTGTCTTCTTTGCATTTGCGAAGAAAGACTTTGTCGTGTTCCCAGGGTAGAAGTCACAATTTGCATT